AAAAAAAGAATATTCTTACGTGAAAGAGCGTTCAATTTTCTATAAGAATACGTCTGCACTTTATTTTCAAAATTGCCTTTCATGCTCACTAACGACAAGCGAAAAGAGCGCTGCGACGAGAAAGCCCAAAAATTGGGTGGCCCACTTGGCATGGAATGCCCCATATATATATAATAATGGCGTATTAAAGACTTCATGTACAATTCCAGCACGTTTTGACGTGCATCTATTGAAAAATTTAAATTTCAGGTTATGCTTGCTATAAGTAGTGTATCCCTATAAGCGCAAAATATAATAAAAAAAATAAATATAAATATTATATTATAATAAATAATAAATATTAATAAATTATTAATAATATAATAATAATAATATAATAATATTAATAAATTATTAATAATTATTATTAATTTATTATTTATTTATAATAAATATTATATTATAATTTGCGTTAAAAGTTACAGAATATGCGTATACTGATCTATATCAACTAACCTAAAGAAAAAAAGGGCAAATTCTATTAATGGTGTGATGAGTGGTGATGAGTGCGTTCAGATTCCTAAAACACTCGGGTGCTTTTCGTTAGGTTCCGCCCACTCACCCAGTCACCCAGCGAACACCCACCTGGTGAGGAATCTGAACGTAGCCCAGGGTAGCGGCTCAGTATCAGCACTTGCCCTGATAAAGTAAACGGCACAGTTCACGAAACGTTGGCATCAATAATGAAGAAAGACACGGCGATAACCCGCAAACCTTCTGGTATAATTGAAGAAAATACCCGTGAAAGATGGTTTAATTTTGTTGAGTAGTGTATTAATAACTTTTTTTTCTTACAATAAAGAGATATATAAAGTATAATAAAGAGATTGAGATAACCATTAAAAATATTTACAATTTGAGAAATATAAAAAATGTGAAAAAATATAAAATATTTTCACTAGAGTAGTATTTGATAAGATTTTTACGAAGTAGTATTTTTACTTGTAAATACTAACCATTCAATTAAGCTTCAATATTATAAAAATTTTTAATTTATTTTTAAATATGATACTTAAGCCTTTGAAAACTACTAGATTCCATTTTAACTATTTGCAATTTTCGACTGGTGAAAATATTATAAATTTGAATTAAGATATAAACAATTCAGTATTTACAATTTCTACAAATATAAAAAACATGTATAAATATTTGATAAATGCTGGCATGATCTATAAATAAAGTCTAATCATGATCAATTATTTAAAAATGTATAAAAATAGCAATTTAAAATTAATGATTAATGCGCTATGATCAGATATGTTTGCTAACATTGATAATCATTTAAATCACCCCATGCAGGTCCAATTCTGATTTTTACTGGCAATGGCACAGTAAGTTGACACACATTTTCCATTGATTCTTTGATTATAACAGCAACTTTCTTCAAATCTGCTAAATTTACCTGAAATAACATTAAAAAATTACCTTTTTTGTAACATTTATAAGTTATTAGGAGACTCAAGAAACTTAAATTTATAGTAAATATATAAAGAATTGATAATAACTTACTTCGTACAACAATTCATCATGTAATTGTAAAACTAAATAACCACCTCTTTGTTGCAAATTGCTTCGTAATTTGCGAGGGGTATGCACCTCTGGAAATATTATAGCCGAATCCGGAAAGTGACTTCTTATCTTGTCTTCTATACTTATCATGGCTTTCTTAACTATATCTGCGGCGGAACCTTGTACCTTTGTATTTACACCTTGTCGTTCTGCTTGTGCTATAATTCAACAAATATACAATTTGTTCATTTATAAAATAAATCATTTATAAAATACGGACAACGTCAATGTATGATAATCTTCACCTCTCACAGATGATTTTGTACTATTTAAATCCGGAAGCTGTCTGCGTCTTCCAAGTAACGTTGTCACATATCCATCGTGATGTGCTTCTTCTAATACATCATTTAACCATTTATATATACCAGGATATGCGCTCATAAAAGACTCTAAAAATTCCTGAGCTTCAGGTTCACTTATACATAGATTTTCGGCCAATGACTTCACTCCCATGCCATAAATCATACCGTAACATAATTGTTTAGTACGCTGACGCATTTCGCTGGTTACCTAGATATTCGGATAATTAATATAATTAATAAATAAATATGTAAAATATTTAAAGATAGAGTCGAGAGAGAATCATAAATAGTACAATACAATATTAAGTATATATAGATTTTTGCGGTATATTCATTATTGTAGTTGATACCTGTTCTTCTGCTACATTATTCCATTTAGCAGCAATATTTTTAAAAATGTCACCCGGTTGTTTCATGATTTTGCACAATACCGAATCTTGCGAAAAATGAGTCAAGAGGCGTAATTCGAGTTGACAATAGTCAGCGGATAGCATTATATTGCCTAAAGCTGGTACAAATGCCATCCTTACGCTTATGACGAGATTATTATCTGCGAAACTAAAATCCTTTGGCACATTTTGCAAATTTGGTTCGTGCATCGAGACTCTTCCTGTTACCGTACAACTAATACAACTACCACGAATACGAGAATCTCCTTGAGCCAAATTAAGTAATGGATAAATCATCTGTAGGCAGAAACATACTCGGTAAAATATAATTTTACTAAATTTTTTTTGTTATAAATTAATATAAATAGTATGGCTCAATAAATTAAAATAATATGTGTAGAAGGGCTACGAGCCAGAAACCAAATAATAAAATATTTTTAATAATTTTGAAAACATTTTATATAAGACAAAAATTAAAAGTTACACAGAAAACGCAAACAAAAGTAAGACTAAGAATTAAAATATAAACAATAAAATATAACAGACGTTTCGACCTCTTTTAGGTCATTTTCAATGTTTAAACGTGTAAAATATTATAAAAATTATGCATTACATATAAATTTTCAAAAAAGGAACTAAAATGCGAGATGGTAGCATTTTTTGCGATGGTTTTCTTCACAAAATAGTGTCGTCGTTGCGAGTATTAAAATAATTGTGTAGGTGTTACAAACTTTAATATGGAGGTGTCAAGTTTTTTAATAAGTCCATGAATAAATCTTCTATTTTTCATCATTGTCGGGTAGTTCTTCATCATAGTAAGTCTCATGGATAGTATGTCAATAAGAAAGTCATTCTCATGAACAGAAATGGTGAAATCGTAATGCAGAACTACAATTGTATAATATAAAATAATAGAAGTTATATTACACAATACAAATCCAGATACCACATAAATTCACATTCGTTCGACATATATAAATATCTATTTTATATGAAAATGACTTCCATATTGGCAATCAATGTTGTTGAAATATTTTTAATCGTCAGTATAATATTAGAGTAAATTCAAACAAATTGGTTATAGAAAACTTAAAACAACGATATGGAACAGATGTTGTCACATAGAGACGATATAAACTAATGATGACTTTCAGAAAAACATATTGGAGAAGGAAAATTGTAAAAAGAGATAGAATGTTGTAGGAGAGAAAGAAGAAAAGGAGA